AAAAAAAAAAAAAAAAAACAATTCCATCACCGCCCCCATGGATTGGGCGGCGGACCGCCGTGCACACGTGCGTGATTGCTCACGTTACTAATCAAACTCTCCCTAATCTCCCCCGCCAGCTGTCTGCCGTATGTAGGGTCTTCTTCAGGCGGCGGAGGCTGCGGCGGCTGTCCCCCAGCGCGGACGCGTCTTCGCCGACGTGGCTGGCTCTCCTCATCACTCCGGTCATCATCGCTATCATCGGACAGCAGGTCCGGATCGATGACGACCCTCGCATCAACCGTGATGTTGTGGAGAATGGAGATCGCCATGACCTCTTTCAACAGTCTTCATGTTGCCAATCTGACGGCGGATGAAATGTCTCCAAATGGACTTCAATCGCCCGAATGTCCGTTCGATACATGACCGCGCCGAAGTGTGACAATCGCCGTACGTCACTTCCGCGGCCGTTCTCCCACCTTCCTTGTTGCCGAAAGGAGTCATTATCCACGGCAGCAATGTGTATCCTGCATCACCAAGCACGTAACGGCCCAGATGACGACCATCTCTCAAAACGACAGACCCCGAGCCGAAAACGCCACGGCCCTCTTGCGCCATTCCGTATAGAGGAGACAAACGAAGGGCACGGGAATCGTGCAGAGAACCAGGGCACCCCACATACACACTACATATGCGGCATTCGTGGTCGCACACCACTTGGGCTTGCACGGAGTACTGCCCCGTTCGGTCGTAGTAACACTCCGACCACTCGTTCTTCGGTTTTTCTAGGTATATGTGAGTGTCGTCTATGGCTCCCACGCACCCTGGGAAGCTCTTTCTCTCGAAGGCAACAAGCACTTCCTCCATCCTCCTTCCTGTCGAAAACRAGATGATGTTGSCGTACTCCCTTATCAAAGCGTCCGCCACGACCTCGTTACTCCGAAGACCGCTGCACAGACCCAACCCCAGCCCATGCGCTGTCTGCCTGTAGAAACCTCCCGTAGCCCACCTGATGAGAGCGCAAGCGAATTTCTGGCCGGMCGGGACAGGCTGCCTCCAGTTCGTTGTCTGGCGCTGGATATGGGGGCGAATTCGGGCAAGCACGTCGTTGAATACAAGCCGCRGCAGCCTGCAAAATCGCTTAAACACTTTTGTCGTGCTCCACTCCCACCCTCTGCAGATCCTTCCACAACCCCCCGCTGCGTTCGATCACCCATATTCGCCGCCGCCGGTCCAACCTCGCACCCAATTCGTCGGCAATGCAAGATGCCAACGACACGCTGCACATCACCGCACCRGCCAGATGGAAAAACGCGGACGAAATCTCCGAACCAAACAACGGCACTGCTGCTGCAGCTTGAAGGACACCCATGGCGGCGACGTTTCTCCRGTTCATCCATTGCATGATGACAARGAGGACGATGAACATCTCATCGTCATCCCAGTMATCCGCCACGGTTGTTGACATCGACGCGTCCATGTAGGGGCCACGACAGTGCTTCGCTTCCCGCGGCTGTGGYGATCCACGTCAGCCGGTCGTTGATAATCCCTCACAGAACACGCCCCCTCCCCTTCGTGTCTGGGAATTCCAAGAGTCCCCACTGAACACCAYCCGGCACCCCCACGCCTGGCTTTCTGCACTGGAYGGGCGAACGGACCACGAGGCCAGGTACTTGTGCTGCTCAACCSTTGCCGTCTCGGGTACCGCGAAACCGTCCACGCGGGAGGGCCCCAGCGTTTCCYGTCACACCATGCGCCGCAGATGCCACACAATGCCACCCACGAGGGCCCCAGCGTTTCCCGTCACACCATGSGCCGCAGATGCCACACAATGCCACCCACGACCCGTGACCGGACACCCACCAGGTCCACCACGGCCTGCCAGGCCTTCGACGGCGGACAAAACAGCCAAACTGGTCCGAAAGTCTGGAGGAACTCTTCCAAAAGTCAGGAAAAGAGGCACTTCGGTGGGGTCCCGTCTTTTCTTTTCCGAAAACTTCCAGGACTTCCGCTCGCTTTACCACGGAAACTGCCTTTTCCAGACTTTGGGCGGTGGGGTCCACCTCTTAGATTAACAGAATTGCCTAAAGAGTAACGGAGACACGCGAAGGTAGGCTCAAGCTAGCGCTTTGCGCAGCTGTAGAGCGTAATGGTCAAAGCCTTCAGGCGTTTTTTCCTCTTTGCTAGTGAAAGCTCGCCCCCGGTTGGACGGTGCTCAGAGGGCAAACTCACACRAGCACTTTCCAGAATGTATTGTGTACGTGACCACAATTACGATGGCGCGTGGACACAAACTCACACGAGCACTTTCCAGAATGTRCGTGACCACAATTACGATGGCGCRTKGACGCATCTTCGGGCGATCACAGCCACAGCTCAGTTGGAGAAGTACCTGTGGGAGTATGGGCGTCCCTCCACTACACTCCAATTCTGCAAAATGAGAGCGAATCTTCSGCTCGAACATGGAGAGATACACGGCATGTCCTTTTTTYTTTTTTTTTTCTATATTCTTCTCTCAATCTTAAAAGTGGCAGTGTATATTTCCATGTTCACCTTGGGGAAATTCAGTTCAGCTCAGTTGGTACACCCATGAATTCGACCAGAAAAGAGGGGGGGAAAAAAAAAACCGGGCCGGCAAGTATACCAGTCCGCCCCTGTATGGCCACAAATATACCTGGAAAGTTGCAGAAATACCCTTTTCACGAAGTTTCGAAGCAGATTTACCAGGGGTTACCGTCTTTCCTGACACGTACCCAGACCCCGTCCGCCTGGCCTCAGGCACGCACTCCAGGGCAGGCGAGTCCTCTGTTGCAAACGGAGGTACCTCCGGTGTATTTGCCGCGAAAGAAAGAACCGCCCAGTACATCCGCTTCGAAACTTTTGAAAAACGTTTTGAAACTTTGCCTGCACAATACACAGTAAAATCAGGTGTGAGACAGGCCATCAGAGCGGACAGGAGAAGGAAAGTGAAGATGGGGAAGAGGAGAGGAAAACAGCTGTTCTGGTTTCTTCGCACTTGCTCTCGGGGTAACCAGTTAGCAGCCTTGCTCTCGGGGTAACCAGTTAGCAGCCGTGCACACCGAACATTGGTTACAAGATAGTGGGACTGTGAGGCAGACAGAGGTAGGGAATAGGAGGCCGACTAGATAGAGACTAGGAAATACCAGGACACTC